ATGTCTTCCAAACCTTGTTGCTTGTTCTTAGTCCCTAATTCTAAGTGGAAAAGTAAAGGGAAATTAGCCTTAGCTTGTATCACAATTGTTAATGGCAAAAATTAAAGAAAAAATTGACAGGCCTATATACCCCCAGTTTTACCGCATATCTGTCAAACACATGTTAGTTGCTGTTTTACTGACTAGGAATCATATGATTTTGGACATATCTGGATCAAAGTTATTAAGTTTGGGAGATAAAAATTGATCATGCCCCATGCAATTTATCATTCTAATCTCCTTGCAAGTAATTATGGCAATGAAGTATTCTTTTTTAGTCCCCTTTCACAAACTGTTCGTTCCCTTGCAACAAATCAATAGGCACTTTCCAAGTGGAGACTTGATCCCAGAATGAAGTAAATATATCTCAATATTAGGTAGCCATAAGCACTTTCAATTCTATGATATTGAATGGGATGGTGAGAGAATAATAGTATCCAAGCACAGAAGTAATTTATATTTTTGTTCAGACTAAACACTCTCAGCTTACCTTGCTGGGGCAGCTCAACAATTTTAATGTACCTTCTGAAATTCTTGATAAGTGGAGTTCGAAATCCTCACTCATATTCATTTTAAGAAATTGGTTCAACTTGCGAGCAGCACGATTTAGAAAAGCAGCTTCCTATTATAGGAAAAAGTTACAAGGGCTGTGGTTCAAATAAAATATTAGAAACTGCAGCATTCTTAAGGAGCCTAAAGTCAGAGCAAATTGTTAAGTAATACCCCACCTCCACCCCAGCTTTCTCTTCCTGTTAATCACGTGACTGACAAGTACAGGACTGAAACTGTTTAGCTCCTAGGTGACAGCATAAAATGCCCAGAACTTGGTTTAATGATTATCTGACTCTTAAAGTCTCTTTACTCTGTTATATGTGACCTTATCATTTATAGGTGAACGCATTATAAGGTTACTCAGTTTTAAACAGAATAACTAAATGAGAAGGCTTCTGGAAGCAGTAATGATGAAAGAGGTATGTGTGTTTTTTTCTTACTGATACTACTTTCTAACCTTTGAGCTATGTATGAATAGCTAGCTGCTAATAAATTAAAAGTTCCATAGTCGTGTAAAACACATTTTTTAGATATTTAAAGAAACTAAAAAATAAAGAATTTATGGGTATATTAGGAGATGCCATGAGATTAGTTTAGATACTGTGAGTTAAAAAAAATTAATAGTACAAGAGAGTCTATAGCAAGAAACGATACAAACTTTTAGAGATTTTGTACATTGTAATATTACACCAAGTAGAGGTGGTATTGATTTAAAGTTAAGCAAATATTGAAAGAAAAAAATTTTCGAAATGTCTACACCTAAGTTATATCCATGACGTATGTTTGTCTATTTGCAAGCAAGCAAACACTTTAAAAAGTCTTTTCCCAAATAAGAAACTTAGAAAAAAGAGATATGTGAATTCAATAATTTTAATATTTTGAAGGTGAAAAATAGGATGGTATATAAAAATTGTTATCTATTAAGCCTAGGGCTACTTGTAAAATAATAGCATAAAAAGCATAATATAATTTAATTGAATAATGGACTTGTGTGGATAGAACCAAAAGAACATACCATTAATATAATTGTCTAACAGGGGCACACAAAATTGGAGCTTCTATAAAATCAAGAACGACAAACTCTAAATAATTATCATTACCTTTGAATCACCACATGAATGTCTTTTAAAAAAGTTAGATTCATTGTTTACACAGTTGCTATCAACTTCTATCATTTTGTCCTGTAATAAATAAAATAATATGGTTAAACTGAGGAATTTTTGAATATTTAGTAATTATAAAAATATCCATCTTATAATATATATAATACCTGGTATTTATATGTTCTTTTTAAGGAGAATGATTTTTGCCTGGTTTAACTTACTAGGCATGAACAGTAGTTTTCTATAGCTAAAGGATAAACAAGTATTTATGCAATCCCTTCACATATTTAAAGCACTTCTTACATGCAATAATTTAATTCCAGAATTCACTAAGAGAATTTGGCTCATTTAGGGAAATAAACAACCTATTTTAGAGGTCACACTATGTAGACAAAATACTGTAAAATTTGAAATAAAAAAATTTGATGAATTTAAGAGGTCACATCCCATTCAATAGCTTGATATTGATCAAACAGGGAAGGGAATTTACATTGAATAAAGAGAAAAACTTCTTGACACCAGAGTTAAGGTTGAAATCCATTCTACAGCATTTTTAACAAGACAATTTGGTATTGCTGATATAGAATTTTGCTGAGAAATAGTGAGATTGAATATGTGTGTGTTTGTTATGAACGTAGAGTGGAAAAACACTGGCACTTGCTCACTTTTCATTTCTAAGAAATGCAGTTTAAGGAGTCAGGATTATCTGAATCAAGGATTTAGTTGACATACTTGAAAGAACAAGATTTCAGATTCTCTTATGCACAAGATTGGACTAGCTCTGTCCAGCAAACTAGCAATTTCATGCAAACAGAGCTTCTAGAAGGACTTCATGCAGTCTTAGACTACATGACATCATCAAAGAAACAGGATAAAAGTACAGCAAGGACAGGACTTAGTTGTAGGATTCTGATCTTCATCTGCCCCTCAGAAAAGTGTCTATTCTTTGTCACTCTTATCATGTATAGAAAGCATAAATGGTCTCTGTGTTTGTCCTGGCTTTAAAATGTGTATACTATCTGTTTTACCCATAGGATATCATGTCTGAATACACAATGTTTTTATTTACCCATTCAACACATACTAAAGCCCAATGTGCAGAGTTTTCTACAAAATTCTGGAAAATACAGTCCTGGTTTCTTGTGCCATTTGATAAAAAGGGTGATTCTGCATCTCTCGGGCACATTTACATCACTTCTTTAGAAAAATATACTTTTGAAAATAGAAGATTTATTTCTGTCAAATACACACATACTGCAAATATCTCAAGTACAAAAGGTATATTTTCTTTAACTGTCTTCAAGTTGCCATTATGCACATTCCCGAAAAGGTAGTGAAGAATTAATATTTTCCTGTCAAGCTATTTTCCTATTGACTTTCATTAAATTCCAAGAAGGACAATAAATCATATATAAATTTTTCTTTGGTTAAATATAGAACATTTAATTTTTGCCACACCACTGTTCAAGAAAGAAAACAGACCAACATAAGCCATTAGTTATGATATTTTCCAAATTCACCAAATATATTATATGAAAATGTGCCACATAAATTGTGGTAATTTCTTGGCACATTTTAACAAATTGCCTGACACATTGTGTGGATATTTGAAAAACATTAGTGCTTAGGCCAATGTTCCATGTAACTAATAGAACTTGTTTTTGGCAGATCTTCAGAAAGGTAATGTTATACCAGTTGATTTGTTGGCCAAATGTTGGATAGAGATGTAAAGGTGTTACTAGAACCTTAAAAGATGGACTTATATAAAGGTCACAATTATTATTAATAATTTGACTTTAGCAAAATTTATTAATATATTTAACATAGGTTTGCATGGGTGCCAATTACAATTGCTTTCTAAAACTGTTTTTATTCAAGTCCTATCAGAGAGCACTTCAGAGTAAGACTGTACACTTGTAGGACAGAAGCATAGGTCCTCATCTCTGGATTTAACAGAAAGTAGAATTATCTGACCAGTACCACAATAAGTTTCTTACACATATCTTAACATATGTAAAGATTACTTCAAATTTGTTGTGTATGTGGAAAATCAAAGAGAAAGGCCAAGGTTACATTGACTGTAAGCTGCATTATTTTCCAGTATCAAATATGATGCCATGTTATTTCTAAAATACATAATATCTTTTCAATTTGTAGAATTATATCTTTGAATTCAGCAGTTTTATTTTATCTTTGAAATTTTTTCTATTACATATTTAAATTTCTTCTATTGTAACGTATGTATATATCACTTCTTCTTTTATGTATTTATCACTTAAGAATTTTGTGTGGTTTTCTTTACCATGTATTACACATGCATGTTTTAATGGTGCATTCATTTCTGGTCTATGTTTTAATGTTCATTTATTTCCCCTGAAATCAAATCTAATCTCTTCTCTGACATTGTATTTTTTAAAATGTTTTTACTTTGTTTCTTAAAGAGTACTGAGAAAAATGTTAGCTGTTTTTCCCCTGATTTCATGGATAATTAATCTTTTGATGTATATTCTTCCTTTTCCTTTTGCTTGCTTATATATTTGTGTGTTCTTTTATTTATTTTGGTAGCATCAGAGTGCTTTGTTTTTTGTTTTCTGAAGAGATGCTAAAGCAGAATACTGTTCAGCTAGTATTCGACATCTGTACCCACTTCATGGGAGAATGTATTAGTTTCCCAGGGCTGCTGTAATAAATGACCAAAAATTTGGTGGCTCAAAACAGTAAAAATTTACTCTCTCATAATTCTGTAGGTCAAAAATCTAGAATCAGGCTGTCAGTTGAAGGCTCTGGGAAGGATCCACTTTTGTGTGTCTCTTCTATATTCTGATGGCTGACAGCATGCTTTGGAGTCCCTTGCCTTATAATCACACAGTTAATCTCTGTCTCTATATTCACAGTCCTCTCTTTGTATGTGTCTAGAATCTCCCTATGACTCTATAAAGACAATTGTGAGAGCAGTGGATCATGCAGGTTAATCTCCCTGTGTCAAAATTCTTGACTTCAATTTGTAGATTCCTTATCTTATAAATTTTCAGGGATCAGAATTCAATATCTTTGGGTGGCTATTAGCATACTAGAGACACAGATGTTCATCTGACCATTGATGTTGGGTTTGACCAAAAGGTACACTTTTGGTAGTGGATGTTAGCAGACTGTACTGGAACAAACAAACTAGAAATGTACTTGCACTACAGATTTTGGTTCCCTTGTACTTTTAACTTTTAACATGATGGTAAGTATTTGGTAGTATTCATATCTATTACTGTATAATTAACTACTACAAAGGTAGCATAAGACAATAAAAATTTGCTATGGTGCAGTCTGTGGGTGAGAGATTTGGGAAGCATTTCTGAATCTGGGAGCTTCTGGATCTGCACATTCCATGAGGATGCAGTAAAGATGTAGGCCTTGTGTGTGGTCACCTGGGCTTGAGGAGGGCAGGAGGATGCATTTGCAAGACATCTTGTGTGTATGGCTATTAAAGGAGGCCTCAATGGCTCATCATATGAGCCAAGCCATAGACTTTCTTCAGTGTCCTTACAGAATGATGCCTAGTTTTCTCCAAGTGTGCATTGCACAAGAGAGGAAGGAGGAGGCTCTATACCTTTTGCAACCGAATCTCACACTGCCATATCTACTTTATTCTATTTGTAGGGGATGAGTCACTAACTCCAGTCCACACTTAGTGGTAAGGAATGAAACTCACCCTTTTAAAAGAAAGAGTGTAAAGGAATTTTGGGGCATATACTAACACAACCACACAGTTACTCCTCCATCTTTTGATCTTTTGACTTAGAATAAAGTATGTGGAGATCATCAACTCCAGTCAACCTGAATACCTGTGAATCTGAGATGTGTGTGTGTGTGTGTGTGTGTGTGTGGGTGTGTGTGTTTGTGTGTGGTCGTATACTTTTTTGGTTATTTTTTATACAGCAAATGCTGGCAGATAGAGAAATCCTGCTTTGGGGATCAATCAGTTGTCCAAAAATAAAGATGGAAGGGCAAAGACAATGAACAGGGTCAGCTGCTCATTCTTATCCAATTGCTATATTCTTTGTTATAAGATAGTTCTATTCTTAATTTTTCCAAGTTACTCTCTTCAGTAGAGGAATTCAATATGGCTCACAGTGCATCTTCAGCATTACATGTGCTAAGATGACTAAAGTCTATCAATTGCTCATAGCTGATTCTGGTCAGTAGCTACAAAACTGGTTGTTGCTTCTTTTACTCCCACATTTTATTTATTTTGTGGTGGTCTTTGTAAGGATTGCAAAGTTTTAACATAGAGAAGAAAGATTCAATCTTAAGTCTTTTGCTATTTTTTGAACATAAACTTGGCTCCTACATAAAGATTCATCATTTCTGATTATACTTATCACACTACATCCATGGACAAAACATTGTTCCATAAAAAGACTCATTTGAGGCACATTACAAAACGTGCTATTTATTTTAGAGAATCCATACTCTGTATAAAATTGTAAAAGTTTGCACAATTTTTGGAACACATTCAACTGGAACAAATTTTACCTACCATTTGTTAAGTAGCTTATCAGTTTATAACATTAATTGGTATTTAATTCCTGGTTAAAATGAAATAATTTATTCTTCATTAAAATACTTGTTGAGAATCTACCATACACCACTTAGTAGTGGGAATACTACTGATAAAATTATATATGGTTTCTTCTCAAAGTTTGGTGGGAAAGACAAATATTAATCCAGTAACCACAATCAATTTCCGACTTGATACTTTTTGTAAATAAATATGCCACTATGGAAATATATGTAAACAGATTTTTTACATAGGGACCTCAAAGGAGACTTTTTCTAGAAGAGAACACTTCAACTGGGATGTGAAGCAAGATATTCTAGGGGAAAAGGGAATAAGAAAATTCAAGATGTATAAACAGTTTGCATGGCTATCTTTGAACTTAAAGGGAACATGGCGTGTAGGTGGCTCAATATAAGACAGAAAAGGAAAGAAGGGTTGTGTCTAGCAGAGCTAGTGAAGCCTCTGGCTCCTAATTAAAGCTAGGTCTAGAAGAGACCAAGTAATGCATGGTCTTAAAGGAATTTTA